CGATAAAGTTCAATACTGTGCATGTTGTTTGACGTTCCTAACAGAACCCAACAAGGGGATGATTGATTAGGTTCGATAATGATTGCTTGTTCTTGATTGTTCATGCCTATTCGAGTTGTGCTTATATATATACTTATATATATAGATAAAGAATAAATATCCGCTCCCAAGGATAGATGATTTGTTTGATCAGTTAAGAGGGGCTTGCGTATTTTCAAAGATAGATTTACGCTCAGGCTATCATCAACTAAAGATTAAGGAATTTGACATAGCTAAAACTGCGTTTCGGACAAGATACGGTCACTACGAGTTTGTGGTGATGCCGTTTGGGGTAAGTAATGCACCAGCGGTATTCATGGATTTGATGAACCGTGTATTCCACAAGTATTTAGATCAATTTCTCATCGTCTTTATTGATGATATTTTGGTCTATTCCAAGAGTCAAGAAGAGCATGAACAACATCTGAGGGTAGTTCTTGGTACCCTCAGAAAGGAGAAGTTGTATGCCAAATTCTCTAAGTGTGAGTTTTGGCTGAAGAAAGTGGCATTCTTAGGCCATATTATCACTGAGAAAGGTGTAGAAGTGGATCCAGCAAAGATTGCTGCAATTCAGAATTGGTCAGTACCGAAGAATCCATCAGAAGTTCGAAGTTTTCTCGGATTAGCAGGTTATTATCGTAGATTTATCGAAGGGTTTTCAAAGATTGCTCTCCCTTTGACAAATTTAACGAGAAAATCTGCGAAGTTCGAGTGGTCTGATCGTTGTGACAAGAGTTTCCAAGAGCTTAAGAAGAAGCTTACATCAACTCCAGTGCTGATTATCCCTGATCCTACTAGAAGTTTCACTATTTATAGTGATGCATCGAAAAGGGGTCTTGGATGTGTACTCATGCAAGATGGTCAAGTTGTTGCATATGCATTGCGACAATTAAAACCGCATGAGCAGAATTATCCAACTCATGATTTAGAGTTGGCAGCAGTAGTGCACGCACTCAAGATTTGGAGGCATTATCTCTATGGTGGCCAGTGAGAAATATTCACTGATCACAAGAGTTTGCAATATATATTCACTCAGAAGGAGCTCAATATGCGCCAAAGAAGATGGTTGGAGCTTGTGAAGGATTATGATTGCACTATCCAATATCATCCGGGGAAGGCGAACGTGGTAGCAGATGCTCTAAGCCGTAAGGTGAAGGGTGGATTGGCATGTTGTATCACTCAACAGAATCAACTTATTAAAGAGTTTGCTCAGATGCAGATTGACGTTGTCAAGACACTTCCTAAGGAAGTTACTGGAAGGGTTAACTCAATGAGAGTTCAGCCCATGCTGAGAGAAAGAATTCGGAAGGAGCAATCTTTCGATCAATTTGTTCGGAAGATGGAAGAAAAAGTTCAAGCTGAAGGAGTAGAAGGCTTTTACCGAGGTTCTGATGGAGCATTGGAGTTTAGAGGAAGGATTGTTGTGCCAAAAGTCGAGGCCTTGCGGAAGGAGATCTTGACTGAAGCACATAGTGCACCATATTTAGCTCACCCTGGAAGCACCAAAATGTATCATGACTTGAAAAGGTCGTTTTGGTGGAAAGGGATGAAGAGAGATGCAGCAGATTTTGTGAAGAAGTGTTTGGTCTGTCAGCAAGTTAAGGCCGAGCACCGGAGTCCATTAGGCCTGTTGCAACCAATAGAGATTCCTAAATGGAAGTGGGAAGAAGTTACCATGGATTTTGTTACAGGTCTACCTAAGTCATCAGAACAACATGACGCGATTTGGGTAGTAGTAGACAGGTTGACGAAAGTCGCTCATTTTATGCCTGTATCAATGACTATGTCGATGGACAAGTTAGCTGAAATTTATACTCGTGGAATTATTCGACTCCATGGAGTGCCTATTACGATAATATCTGATCGAGATCCCAGATTCACTAGTAAATTTTGGGAAAGTTTGCATAAGGCAATGGGCACACAGTTAAGTTTCAGTTCGGCTTACCATCCGGAAGCAGATGGCCAGTCAGAGAGGAAGATCCAGACGCTTGAAGATATGCTCAGAGCCTGTATTCTAGATAGAGGTTCCAAATGGGAGAAGTGGTTGCTGTTAGTGGAATTTGCTTACAACAACAGCTATCATTCATCAATTCGAATGGCTCCCTATGAAGCACTTTATGGCCGCAAGTGTCGTTCACCTCTTTATTGGGACGATGTTGGAGAGAAGCAAGTACTTGGCCCGAAGATGATTGAAGAAACTGTTGAACAAGTAGCCTGGATTCGAGAAAGGCTTAAGACTGCTCAAAGTCGGCAAAAATCTTCAGCTGACAAGCATAGACGAGATATGCAATTTGAGGTAGGAGATAAAGTTTTCTTAAAAGTTCGACCCATGAGAGGGGTTATTCGTTTTGGGAAGAAAGGAAAGTTGCATCCTCGCTATATTGGTCCGTTCGAAGTTCTTGAACGAGTTGGAGAAGTATCTTATCGATTAGCTTTTCCTCATGAGTTGGCAAATGTGCATAATGTTTTTCATGTATCGATGCTGCGTCCATATGTGTGCGATCCAGATCATGTGTTGCAGCACAATGAGATACAAATTCAACCAGATTTGACTTATGAGGAGAAGCCAGTAGCAGTTTTGGACCGAAAGGTTCATAGACTCCGGAAGCGAGATGTTCCACTTGTTCGTATCAAGTGGAATCGACATGGAGAATCAAATTCCACTTGGGAACGAGAAGCAGATATTAGAGCTCGATTTCCAGATTTCAAGTTTTGATGATCTCAGTAAGTTCTATTTTATTTCAAGTATTAGTATTTCCGAGGGCGGAAATAGTTTAAGGGGGGTAGATTGTAATATCCCATTGAGTTAAGTATCAGTTATCTTCAAAACCGAGAGATTTTGAGGGTAAATAAGTTTATAAATTAAGTTTTTTAAGCCACACGGGTCGTGTCACAAGTGACACGGGTCGTGTGGAGTCACACGAGTCGTGTCACAAGTGACACGAGTCGTGTGGCTCAAGATGCTATCAAAGTGTTGTTTCGGCTTTGTGACACGAGTCGTGTCACTAAGTGACACGAGTCGTGTGAGGTCACACGAGTCGTGTCACTAGGTGACACGGGTCGTGTTGCCGACAAAAATTCAGATTTTTGAGATTTTGCATTTAATGCCAACCAATATGATTTTCTAGCTATTAATTATGTTAGCTGATAATTTGAATTGTTAGGTGAGGATTTATTTAAGTTGATTAAATTTTAGAAGTTTAAATTGTTTAATTTGTTAATTTCTACACTTCAAATATATTATTCCAAAATTTTGGCTATAAATAGGGCCTTTAGAATCTGAAATTTTCACACCAAAAATATTTCCAAGTTATATAAGTGCTTAAGGAGTAGAGTGATAATTATAGTGGAGGGAGGAAATTTTTAAGTGGAAGGAAGAAATTTTCAAGAAGAAGTTCTTGAAGGAGGTAATTCACTTATGTGAAAATTCATGCTCATATTAAGTTCATGGTCATCATGATTTCATGTTAAATAAGTTGTTAGTATGCATGTTTAAGTGTTATGATTGTTATGTTGAGTTCAAGTTGTTATATGCTTTAATGATATAAGGATTATTTAGTATGATTTTAATTAGAATGGAGATTTTGATATAATTTGAAGTTAGTATGCAATTTGATATCATGATATTAAAATGAGAAATGATTAAGTAGTATATATGATTATTTCATGTTAAAGTTTTTAAGAGAAGTTGATATGAAATGTTCATGATGAGTAAGTTGTTATAAGTATAAATTTTAGAGCATTTATTATGAGTTAAATATGTTAAGAATGCAATTTTCATCAATGGTTTTAAGTTTTGATGTTATGATTTAAAGATGAGTTTTATGAGTAATTTAGTAAGTTACAATTCATGAGGATAATGTTGGTAAAAGATAAGTATGTTTGAGTTTATGTATAATTTTAGTTAATTTCAAGCCAACATTTATGTTTTATCAAGTATGATTAATATGAGTTATGGCAGTGAATAAAAGTTGAGAAGATTTAAAGTTATTCAATGTATTTGATTGAGCTATAGCATGTTTCGGATAAGTAATAAAGTAATAGTTAATGTTAAAGAATTTAAGTATGTTATTGAGTATTCGAGCATAGTACTTAGTATATTTGTTTATATTTTTATGAAGCGTTACAAGTCGGCTACGAGAAAAACACTTACAAACAGTTTTTCAAGAAGAAAGGTGGGGACCCAGACTGGGTATTACATTGAGTATAATAGCTAGATCATGTTCAAAGGTAT